GAATTTGTCCATGATAAGGATTCAAGGCTTATCTTATGGGTTGCTTGGTGGGCAAGCAAGTAGATAAGGATAAGGACTGAAACCCTATCTCTACACCTATATAAACACCCCTTTGGCTCATGAATTCGTCCATGCCTTCCCAAGGGGTCCTAGGGACGAAATTTTATACCTCTTCCCTCTCTCTATTACCTCTCCATTTGCTCTTGGTGTTTGTGAGCCATTAGAGGCACTACACTTGTGGTGCTTGCTTTCAAAGACAAGAAGATTCAAGATTTAAGTTGTTATTACAATATAACAACAAGAGGTATGTAATCTAACCTTTTTGGTTAATTTCGAAAATAGTAAGCATCATTAGGGTTTTATTATGTGTTCATAATGTTGTATAACTAATAGTGATAACATAGATCCAACTCTGGGGTTGCATGCACACATAGGATTGTTTGTATAAAATCCATCAACTATTTCCACCTCTATTGGTGTAGTTTGCGTTGAGTTGTGCCATAGCAGCGGTTATTGCCGCTGTTACAACAGCTTGGAATGTAGCAGAGTCCATCTTCATGAGCGGTGTCTCGCGGGTGTGCTTCTAATTTCTGTGGGATGACATTTTCCTGTTGCATGATGATAAGCCAGATCGTAAGTAGCGATGGTCATTTCTGGTTGTACTATATAACTTTGCGTTTTGTCGTATGCTTCACGATGTTTCAATCTACATCCCTAAGATGCATTGATGGTAGTAGGAAATTGTAGATTTGGCACGAATATGACGTCTATCCTTAGAGTATATAGGTTGTTTTGGTTTCGAGATCCTTGAGTAGCTAGCGGTTTCGAGGGTTCGGTTATGCATATAATTGAATTTATGCAATAACATGAAATAAAGATAGCACATAATTGTTTCATTGGTAAGTACCATCTTAGTACACGAAAGAGAGTCATATCGGTTAGTAGGGGAGAAAGCTGCTCCTAATCGTGGCGGAAAGTGTCTGGTGGTGGTGCTGATGAAGTGGATGCACCCTGGACATGAGCTACTTGTCGCTCGGTGTCTCGTAGTTGTGCCTCCCAAACTGACTATCTCGCTTGGAATTCTCTAATTGCTTCCTGTGTTTGTCTCTCATCTCCCTCAACAGCAATCCGCATTTGGTCCGTTTGTTATGAGGTGTCCTAAGCTTGGTTATCAATATCTCGGGTGCGTCAGACCATGCCTGGGAGGGCCCGGTCAGCTGGTCCTCTATGACTAAGACCGAAGAAACCTTGGTTCCTACCATAGTGTGGTCGTATTCCCTGCTGGTGACTCCATCTCCAAATATCGTGTGTCCATGGGGCGTGGGGCCACCGGGGACCATACGATAAGTCGGTACTCTGGCCATGTATGGAGGATTGATGACATCGGATTCTGCATCCGAGGCATCATCGTAATTTCCCTCGAGCTCTTCCTCTTCGAGGTCCACCACTGACTCGGCGGGTCCATCTGCAAGTTCTACTTCATGTTCCTCCTCTAGTTCTTCCTCTGAGTCTCCTTCTGGGTCAAGCCACCATGCCTTCCCCTGACTAGGGAAACAGGGGTCTCCTGGCTAATGATACCCGTTTATAGTGTATTGCACAAAGGGGTATAAATACTAGAAACAAATAGCACACCAAATACTCCTATAGTTTTTTTTAATTTTGTTTAGGTTTGGTTCTATAAGTTCTTTGGATAATTAAATGGTAAGTTTTTGATTCATTGTCCATCACAATTACTCCCGAACACATGTTGGTCGTATTTTGAATGAATGTAGTTGATCAGGCTACATTCACCCCCAATACGACTACATAACTGCCCGGGTTTAATAGCGATGTTCAAATCCTCCAAAGACTTTTATTGTTCTTGTTGTGTTATTACTCTAAAATGCACACATAAGTATGTATTTTAATTCTTATGTTCAGAGTAGTTTAGTCCCATTGTATTTATAGTTGCATATCTTGTATGGTTAGATATGCCAGTTCACTATAAACAATGCTCTGATACCAATCTGTCACACCCCCGAACCAGACGGCGGAAACGTCTGGGGGCTTAGTGCGACTTTCAACATTTCAGTATCATTACAGTGAATATAAATGAAACATAACATCATCATCACCATGCATAATATAACAACATTCATTGTTTACATCAAGTATTGTGTTCGAATATTACATGCCAAATTAGTCAAGGTATGATAACACAAAATATAACTAAGTATCCATTAGTTTGTTTCGCTCAACCTGCTTCAACGGTTTCCTGAGAATACAAGTTAATTTAAAAGGTCAACATAAAAATGTTGGTGAGTTCATAAGTATATTTGAGAAAATGATTTGTATAACTGGGGCTAATTAATTCCTTTATGGCCCAATAAGGCCCATTTAGGGTAAATCAATTTATTTTGGACCCATTATGGCCCGAAATGTTAAGTTTCATGAAAAGTGGGTCCAATTAGAGCCCATTTAAGGGTCCTAAGCCCAAAATAGTCAAATTGGAAGCTTATTGGTCCATTAGGCCCCCATAAGGAAATCCTAGTCCATAATGGACTTAAACCGGGATTTGTAAGGTTTTCAGCCCTTAGTTGAACACATGAGATGTATTTGAATGAGCATAGAGTATGATATGTTCTTTTAGAGTACAAGTTATTACACTAGGTGAATGATTGCATGAGAGTAGAATTTCCTAGCAAAATGCTAGTTGTGACAATGCTTATGTTTATGTATTGACAATAACATCCCAACGTTTTAATATAAACAAAATACATTTCTTCGGAAATGCTTTGATAACATATTTATCATGTTTTACTGGGAACAAATTCCGCAACATTATTCTTTAAAAAGGATACTCTAATTTTTAAATAAGCATAAACAAAAATTTAAAATGATCGTGAAATTTGAGGATGTCACATATGATCTAAGGTTCCTTCATTGGTTGACTATTGAATATTTTCATGGTCAATTGTACTCCCACTATCCTCTTTGCATATGAGCTCTCTCTCGCGAAAGACTCATCTTCGTGCTACAAAGACCACGTTTTCACTAGGACTGTAGTACAAGTATTCAAAGGACTTTTGTGGGTAGCCAATGAAAAAACATCTCTCACTTCTGGCTTCTAGCTTGTCATGAGTCTCCCGTATAACAAAAGCTTCACAATCCTAAACATTGATACATGCTAACGAGGGAACTTTCCATGTCCACATCTCGTAAGGTGTTTTGGCAACCTTTTTAGTAGGGACAAGATTGAGGATATGTCGACTGTCTCTAAGGAATACCCCTAGAAGGAAATGGGAAGAGTGGCTCGACTCATCATGGAACGAACCATGTCCAACAAGGTCTGATTGCGTCTCTCAACCACACCATTAAGTTATGGTGTCCTAGAAGGAGTCAATTGTGAAACTATTCCAACCGTTTGTGTCTATTTCACCCCGGGTCTATTTCATCCCACATACATATATCATACATGCATACAACAAGAGTCACGAAGACAACATGCACACACGACACCTAGTGTCCTACAGTATAGTGAGAATACTCACTTCAATCAATAACAGGTAAATTTCACACTCGAGCTGTAGGTATGAGAATCTCCTCACACTAAACATATCAAACCAAACCCTAATTAATAATTAAGGTAATTATCCTAACTTAGCAGGTCCATAATACTATGACAAATTCTTATTTTGATAAAAAGACCATTTTTCCATTTCAAGTCCCAAACCTTCACAGTTGACTAAAAGTCAACTGGTCAAAAAGTCAACGGTCAACCTTATTGAACTACGCGTCGCGTACTCAGGCTCTACGTTGGGCATAGAGTCTCACTCCAGAAAACTGATGGCAAACAGGCTACGCGCTACGTAACCTAGGTCACGCCCTACGTAACCAGGTTGTTTGCCAACTTCCACTTTAAGGTCTTAATACCTTAAGAACAAACGTCCGATTCTCAGTTCTGGACCTAATAGACGTCTTAACTGATAAAGTCACCAACTTTATGCCTTTGCATGGCTCAAGAGGTTATAAAACCTAACCCTAAGTCCAAAGACTACTCAAAAGCTTAAGATGTCTTGCATGAATGGATGAGAGTGTCCAAGTTCCCATTTTATGCCTCCCCAAACTCAAATACAACAAAATATGGTGCTCACAAGGTATGGAGTAACTCATACTCCATAAAACCAAGGTTTTGGGACAAAACATAACAAAAACCATGAACCAACTCAAGATCTAACAAAATGAAACATAAAGGTTCAAGCTTTATACCTCCTGGAGGTGAATGATGAAGCACAAAATCTGGATCTTCAAGCTTGAGGCCTTCCAATGCTTCTCCAAAGAACTCCCTTCTTCACAAAACACACAAAAATCACAATAAGGCCTTAAAATCTCACAAATTGGGCTAGGGTTTCGAGAGGATTGATGGATAGGATGGAGGTAAGAAGGGCATCAAAGAGATTAAGGTCCTTAAATAGGGTCCAAGACCCCAAAATTAGGGTTTGCACCCTGCGCGGTTACGCCCTGCGTACTCCATTAAGTCTCACATCCAAGTTAATGAATTACGCCCTGCGTAACTCAGCTGACTACGCCCCGCGTACAACCAACATTTGCAAAAAAATAAATAAACTTTAAATATATAAAGAGAAATGCACCTGGAAGTCAGGTGTGACAATAAATTTTGTAGTGAATTGTCTTTACTAATAGCTGATATAGAAACAATTATTAATGTGATTATGGCCGATGTAGGACTAACCACCTTTGTAGAGACTTTGTCTTTTAGATTGAAGGTCTCGGGTTTTAATCCGGATGTTAGTGATTTCTACTGACTTGATACTTATTTCTAACCATAATTCAAAAGAAAAAAGATTATGTGACATCATTTAGTATATTTTAAATTTAAATATTAAATTATGAATTTAGATAGGTTTAATCCTAAATATTAAAAACCATAGTCGTGTAGAATTTGGTAGCAAAAGGGTCAAGGGTGGGTAAAAAACTAAAGAAAGATCCTGCTTTCGATTGAATCAAAGCGCGAGGAGTGGGGTGTCGGGCGATATCATGATGCCTCCTCTTTCTCCCCCTTCCTCTCCCTCTCTTTCCCCAAAATCCCTTTAGCCTGTTCGACCTAAACCTACATTGAAATTCACCAAAATCAGCTTCTTTTTCTATAGATTGCCTTTGTTTTTCCACAATTTATCCAAATCGATGTCATTCTTTTTCATTTGATCTGTTCAATTTCATGAACCCTATCTTTTTTATCTGAATTCTGACAATCTTTTCAAAGTTTCGATCAATACTGTTCATGGCGGTCACTGGTTGCTGACGCTGTCTAATAGATTGTCTTATCGATCGTCCGATTAGCCTTTTCTCCGATGAAGTAGTAATCGGACCGGAACTTTTTTTCTTTTTCTTTTTGATCGTTTTTGTTGAGTTTGTGAGTTAGGGTTTTCGTAAATCCAACGGAAGTTTCAATTTTCTTGAGAATAATTGTTAGTTGATGGAGCCTCGTGTGGGGAATAAGTTTCGACTTGGCCGGAAGATCGGTAGCGGCTCGTTTGGAGAGATCTACCTGGGTTTGTATATTCATGATGATGATATTCCTTTCTGTTTTTGTGAAGTTTTCTCGTTAAGCATTGGTAATTCACATGTTTTTGGTTTTGCAGGTACTAATATTCAGACGAATGAAGAAGTTGCTATTAAGCTGGTGCGTAACCAATATGCCATTTGTGTTTCCATTAATTTTGTTCATTTTTCTGTGACATTATCGCTTCTCAGCTCCATCACTAAAACTTAATTATTGATGTGCATAGCTTAACATGTTCAATGAACTACAACAAATAATTTCAATGCATTGTATAAATCGTGGATAAAGCTCCAAATTCTCATTCTTATACTTCTATGCTTTCCCCCTTTTGTTTTAGTCATGTTTATAGTGCAAGAACACAATTCTTGGTGCTCAAATTTATAGTTTTAAGTGACTTAGATTAATCATCGTTTTCATATGTTTATCATTACTTTAGTTGTTAACAACTCTTTGCAGACTTGATTACATATTACTTTTTTTTTTTTTTTTTTGCTTTTGTAGCTAGTTGTCTGCTTTAAATTGACAAATTTTTACTTTTCTTTTCAGGAAAATATCAAGACAAAGCATCCACAATTGCTATATGAATCAAAGCTATATAAGATACTGCAGGGAGGAAGTAATTATCATTTCCATAGCTTGTTTAGTTCTTTACCACTTGCATCATATCATTATGTGGCTCTATACTTTTTGTTTGTTTTAATTCTTGACTTATTGTGTTTTTCCATTTGTTAGCTGGAATTCCAAATGTGAGATGGTTTGGAGTTGAAGGAGACTACAATGTTCTAGTGCTGGATTTATTGGGTCCTAGTCTTGAGGACTTATTTAACTTCTGCAATCGAAAGCTGTCTTTGAAGACTGTTCTTATGCTTGCAGATCAAATGGTATGTCATTATCCATTCCATTCATTCTCCTTCTCATCAATTTTATATTTCCTCATTATTTTTATTGCAGATCAATCGTGTTGAATTTGTTCATTGCAAATCATTTCTGCATCGTGATCTCAAGCCAGATAACTTCCTTATGGGTCTTGGAAGGCGTGCAAATCAGGTTTTGCTCCTTAAATTGTTATTTCTCCTATATATTTTTTTACATTTGTAATCTTATATTTAGTCTTAAAAATTCATTTCAATGTCTACACTCTACAGGTCTATGCTATTGACTTTGGACTAGCTAAGAAATATAGAGACTCCTCAACTCATCAACACATCCCATATAGGTGAGCTAACTAACTTTGTTCAATCAATAAAAAAAGGAGCAAAATTTACAAATAAAATTAGTTGTTTACAAAAAGAGATCATTTTTTATTTTTTTAATCAAATGCAGAGAGAACAAGAATTTGACTGGGACAGCTAGATATGCAAGCATGAACACTCACCTTGGAATCGGTAAGCTTGTGGTGACACTGAGTTTTTCAAGTTTTTTTTTTAATCAAATGGCATTATATTTATGCAGTTTAATTTTTTTTTATACATGTAGAACAAAGCAGAAGAGATGATCTGGAATCTCTTGGTTATGTTCTCATGTACTTCTTGAGAGGAAGGTTGATATAAAATATAATTCCCTACTATTTTTTATTTTATTTTATAAATCTTGCATATGACTTTGACTAGTATGTTTTGTACATTGTAGTCTCCCATGGCAAGGACTGAAAGCGGGAAATAAGAAGCAAAAATATGAAAAGATCAGTGAGAAGAAGGTGTCCACATCTATTGAAGTAAGTTATTTTGTTAAAAATCATACCTTGGTGAGTAGTTTTTGGCAATGAAATGACAAGATTGCCCCTTGTTTTTCAGGCTTTATGCAGAGGCTACCCTACAGAGTTTGCATCATACTTCCATTACTGTCGATCTTTAAGATTTGATGATAAACCAGATTATGCTTACCTAAAAAGACTCTTTCGTGATCTTTTTATTCGTGAAGGTTATAATTAATTAATTAATTAACTTCTACCTTAATTAATAAAAATCTTGTAATGGATTGTGAAAATTAATCCTATTTTTTTTTTGTTGTTTCAGGCTTCCAGTTTGATTACGTGTTTGATTGGACTATTTTGAAGTATCAACAATCACAGCTTGCCAATCCTCCATCTCGTGCTCTTGTGAGTTTATTTATTTAATTTGAGGAAATTGTTTTTTGTGAAAATTAGAATTAAACAAAATGCTGTTTTTCAGGGTGCTAGTGCTGGACCAAGTAACGCGGCCCCACCTGTGGGTGCTAACCCGATTAGGCAACTAGGTGGGTCTTTTTTTTTTTTTTTTTTTAAATAATGATATTTAATTTAATTTATTAATTATATATGAAAATAAAATGAAATGACAGCTGTACAATGTTGTGGATTTGATGAGCAATTATTGAGGCTATGCATTGTTGCTTGTACAAATGTATTGCCAACTATTGCTCTTCTGGATGTTTGACAATTCTTCACATGGATCATTCTATATATATATTAAATCTGAAGGAAGTTAGCAATAGTAACTTTTATGTCTTTAGGTTTTTGCCACAAATGTTTAGTGAATTTGACACTTTTAGTCCTTAAAGTGAAAACTTTTACAATTTTGTGTTTTGATTAAGTTTTTGTGCTTTTAGGGTTTTGCCACAAATCTTTAGTAACTTTGACACTTTTCGTCCTTGCAGTGAAAAGTTTTATATTTTGGTGTTTTTGCCACAAATCTTTAATGAATTTGACACTTTACGTCCTTATAGTCAAAACTTTTACATTTTGACATAAAAAACACAAAAAACCTCCTTTAGAATTTTGCCACCATATTTTCTCAACTTTGGCAACTTTCACATTATTGCCACAACATTTTTGGATTTTCTCCACCAATGTCCCTTCTTTTGGTTGTCGTACACTTTGGATATCTAATTTTAGGGGTTGTCGACTTTCTCTCCTATTTGCGGTGATTTGCACTTTCAGCACGTATTTTTTAAAGTTTGCCGATTTTCCCCATATTACCCCAAAAGCGGCATAGCCGCGAGTTCTTTGCTAGTTTTTTTTATTTAGAAACTATTTTCTGTCAAATGTCTAAAATACCCTTTCATAACAGGTGAAGAAGGTAGGCCTGCGGGCTGGTCATCTTCAAATCCGTCATGGAGTCGGAATCCTGCAAATTCCGGGACCTTATCAAAGCAGAAAATCCCAACCACCACTGATCAATCCATGAGTAGAGATGTAAGAATATATAATTTGTTTTTCTGATAAATAACATGGAGAGTAAATTGGTCAAAATCTGACATAAAATTGTTGGGAGTTTTTGCAGTTATCGAGGTCTAGTTTTATCCGAACAACTGGCTCATCTCGGCTGACCACGGGTGAACCGGACTCATCACGTGCACGCACAACAGATGCGAGCCCGGGTGCGGTCAACAAGGGGTCAAACATGACCCAGAGGAGCTCCCCGGTTATATCTGCGGATCAAAAGCGACCCATTTCAAGAAATGCTTCAAATACCAACATCAAGAACTTTGAATCCACTCTCAAGGGGATCGAGGGGATGCATTTTTAACACTGGGATTTGTGTTTGTCATTTTATTTCATTGCCTTGGCTTTTGTCTGTAAATTTGTTACTTGAAATTTTTTACTCATATAACGCACACTACAATGATTTGTTGCATCACCAGAGTCTGCAAGCTGTCTCATCTGTTCCACCACCACGACTGGAGTTTATTTTTCTCATGTCTATTGTTGTTATGAAAAATATTATGTTGTGGATATTGCTTACTTTTGTAATATCATTACCTACTATTATTGTCTTGTTATCGAAATATCTGCTTTTTCCAATTGGTTTAAATGCTAATGAGAATTTTACATGATTGTTAAGAACTCGAGTGGTATGGAACTAAACATGTCATTAAAAACGAAAATGAACAAGGTGTTTAATAAAAAATCAAATACTATCTCAACATTGGGTTTAGACAATTTTTATTATCTTTACAGCTAAGCTAAGTAGGGAAAATGTGTTTTACTAGGCTAAGGGCGTGTATGGGATTGCTTATCTAAAACAGCTTACTATAATGCTATGATTACAAAGTCCTAGTTTTGATATGAGTGGAAGGAAAATATGTAAACTATAATTATTTTTTTTATCGTATACTAGTTGGGATCCAAAATTATATAAATAGGGTATATAACTGGGATGTGGGCTAATATAGGCTTGATCACATGGATCTACTTTGTGTTAGCAATGATGTAGTTGTACACTTGTACTACATGCAACAATGAAATTTGTTTCTTCATCAAATAAGTTGTTTGATAAGTTAAAAGATAATAACTTACAAAAAAAAACTCCTTATTTAACCCAAGGATTTTTATTCTAGTTTATCCTAACACTTAAAATGCCTATTACCATTGTCAAACCTCAATAAACTAATATAAACACCTTATATATACAAAAACACCCCCTAAATCCAAGTAATTGATCGTATTACCCTTGCTTACATTAAAAAAAAATTGCGTTTATCAATTTTAATTAAATTTGACAGCTGTAGCGTGAGAGAAGTTGAAAAAACAAGAAGACAAATTTAACCAAAAAAAATTACCTATATAGATATCGAAATCGCAAATGGACCTTCATGGTCCGCAATTTCCTCATTTGGACTAAGATTTTTGGGTAAGATCTACTATTTCATCAAAAGTATAAACAAAAATGAATTTTGCCATTTTGGCAAGACCGAAATGCAAATGGTATTTGGTGATTTGTGATTTTTTATCCTCAAGTAAGATTTTATAAATGTCTAATGTGAGGTTAAGCATTAAACATTTATGTAATCTCAAATGAGGCCTAAAAGTTAGAGATGACATTGAAGAGAGGAAAACGAAGACATGGTCATAGAAAATCTCATATATAGCCATGTCTCGTCTACAATTTAATCATGGCAAAATGACAACCAAAAAAAAAAATTATACTTTTGATGAAAACACATATTATGTAAATGACGAAATCACATGCCGTGAAAGTTAATTCACAATTTCAATGACTAAGTTATTTCTAAATTTTTCTCAATATTTAAAAATTCAATCTTGCATTGCTTCCATGTCGCATCGGGGCTTAGAGTTAACTTCAACAAATCAAGAGTCTTTGGAATTGGAACCGATATGCAAGAGGTTGCAAACTGGGTTGGACCTCTTGGTTGTGCACCCTCCTCCCTCCTCTTACCTATCTCGGAGTCCCAATCGGAGCAAACATGAAGTTGAAGAAACACTGGAAACCGGTAATTGACAGATTCCAAACAAAACTATCAAAGTGGAAATCCAAAACTCTATCCTTTGGCGGAAGATTGACCCTCATTCAATCGGTCTTAGGAAACCTCCCAACATATTACATCTATCTATTTGTGGCCCCTGAAGGTGTAATTGAGACACTAGAAAAGATAAGGAATAGATTCCTTTGGGGTGGGTCGGATGAAAAGAAGGTAATACATTGGATCTCGTGGGATAAGGTGACTGCCTCCAAGGAATCAGGTGGCTTAGGCGTAGGCACAATAAAGGCTCTTAATATATCCCTCATAATGAAATGGTGGTGGAAGCTTAGAACTGATCCTGATCGTTTATGTGTTGTGGTCATCAATTGTTTGCACAATCTCCGATCCAAACCTGATGATTGCTACTCAATGAAGTCTTTATCAGGGGTATGAAACAATATTGTAGGTATTCGGAAAGATCTCATGAAAATTGGAATCCCCGTTAGCTCTGTGATTTCCAAGCAATCAGGTACCACAAGAGACACTTGGAGATGTGGTTTAACCATGGACGGATCTTTTACAGTGTGTCCTTAAAAAAAGATGCGATTATTGGCCCCCCATCGCCAATTATAATTTCCACTGGATCAAAGAAATATCATTGAAAGTCTCATGTTTCATATGGAGGGCGATATTTGGTAGAATCCCTACCGCATCGGGGCTATCAAAAAGAGGAGTAAACTTGGAAACATTGACATGGATGTGTGAGGAGAAAGAAGAGTGCCCAGACCATGCTCTTGTGAATTGCTCTTATGCCCAAAAAGAAAGGGCATTGGTCTCAATGCCCTTTTCTCATAATCTGTATTTTAGTTTCATGTTGTTTTCTTTTTGCTTTTAGATTTTGGCTCTTTGTACTGCCACTGATTTGTGGCTGTTTCCCCTTCTCCTGTTCCTTTTTGTTTCAATTTACATAATCTTACTGGCGGGTTCTAAAAAAAAACTTAAAAAGCTATTTCGTTATAAATTTAAAATGGCACAACATTAAATGAAGCTATTATGCTATAAATAAAAAGGGCCCAATAAAACCATTTAATGTTATGAAGCTACTATGTTAATAAGGCCATTTTATGTGTTGATATTTTTGTTAATCAATGCTTATTGAACATTTAGTATTCTCTTTCAATTAATTTTACGGTAAGCCCTAATGAGATTGTTGTATTGGACATATGCCTGAAACAACATTTCTATATTGGGTTTATAATGAAATTACAATGCTATAAATTAGTCACAAAGCACTCTTCTATGCAAGACCATAACATAAAATGGTTTGAATAGACAATCATTATACTAACATAACACATAACATAATGGTTTTTAGCAAGAAAATACATCAAGTTTTTCTCAGGTTTGCCCGTCAAAAAACAGACTAGATAAACACATGATCATTACATTACCAATATCTACATGTTTTAGCCACATATCCACTGCAAAATAAAGATCATAGAATTGACTTGGATTAAACTTTTTTGGTCTTTATGTTTTAGATCCAAACAACTATCTACATGTTTTAGCCACTTATACATCATTTACTCAAAGATAAAACACAAACATAACATTATGCAAAATATAAAAATATATTTCAAAAAAGGAACATATCGTACATTTAAGCAATTATACAAAAAAATACAGTTCGAGATAAACATTACATTGCCACATTCAATATGATGATGCCCAAAGATGCTCTACAAGATTTTCACAACTGCAACCTTTCTTCAGCTACTTCCCTCTTGAACCAAAAGAATTATCAATATAATGAACAACAAAATGCAACTAACAAGTTTCTGATGACCTTTCAATCTTGTTTTTCAACTACGTAATCAGACTTCCAATTTGAATGCTAAAACATTCGAAATAAAGAAATGAAAAACAAAATGTAATCGTCAATACCGGTAAACCAAGCTAAAGATCACTACAAACAACCAAAATGACAGTAAAACAGTTCATCTTCAATAAGAAACATCTAACTAATCAAAATAACATTAGTGGTGCTTGTTTTATTGTGGAAAAAAAAAATGTGACAGAAGAGCGAAACTTGCATACCATACAGTTTTGGTGTACAAGCATTATACTTCTGTTTTTATACTATATGGAAAGATTTTATAAGAGCTAGGTGAATCTGACAACTACAACAATATATGAAGTAGCAACATAAACCCCATTACCCGATTCCAATAACAAGCAACTACATACAATAGATATAATTATCAGTATTCAAACAATCATTCCACCGCCTAAGGCAATGAACGGATTTTACAGAAGAGCGAAACTAGCAAACCATAAAACTTGGTGTACAAGCATTATACTTCTGTTATAATATTCGGGATGATAGGATAAGAGCAAGGTGGATCACACAGCAACAGAAACACCTTACCCACTTCCCGATATACCAAATGGTGGTTGGAAACGATTATTGAAACTTAAAAGAATATAATCAGATAATGATATACTTATTCAAAATCTTCTTTTTTTGATGTAACATACCCACAAGTGGTAATCATATGTACCCAAATACTAAATACTCCAACCAGAAAACAATAAGACAATTTCGAGAAGGCTACGAGCTAGAACATGATTTTTTTTGGCAATGTATAAAGGAAGTAATAGGGGAAGAACACAAACCCATAAACTGATAAATTCGGCCGATAGATATAAGAAATTAAAAGCAATTGCAGTTTAGGGTTAGGGTTTTCTCAACACCATGATGCTGCGCAGTGGAGCATTAGGTTATTTAAAGGTGGGAGTTGAGACGAAATAGCTTAGGTAAAGTAACGATGTCGGATCACGAGGCGTAAATCGGGTCAGGGTTCGGATTCAAACCAATCACTCTATTTGTCTATGTAACTAGTAGGTGTAAGACCCATTATTACATGAGTTTATTTAAAAAAAAAAAATATGAAAATTTAGCAATTTAAAAAGATTGAATTTATAAAAAAAATGAGAAAAAATTTAAATTATTATAATTAATGAGTCTTTAATACATTGAATACATTAAATATATAAACTCTTTCTAATAAATACCTTACATATTAAATGTGGAATTTTAATTTAATAAAATGAAAAATACAATAAAATAACAAGTGGAAAAATAGAAAATTTAAAAATTTTAGAAAATACCATGTGTCCAAATGAAAGAGAAGATAACATATGGCAAAAACATATTTATTTATTAGGGGGGATTTATATTCTAGTTCAAATTAAATATTTAATATTTATCATATATTATTTTGAACATCTTTTATATTAAAATTTAAGGGCGAACAACGAAAACAATAAAATTTAACACAATCGATTACAATGGTTATTTGGATTTTGCAACAATCCTATAATCAATTTCATTATCAGTTACATGTTTTCAAAAAATAATGGTATTTTTTATTCAGACATTTGATACAAAGTTTATTGAAATTTACAAAGAATAGCTTTTCGGTTTGTTCTTTTCATAAGATGATGTGTGATAGATTGCTTTCCACCCCGTGACATTCTATTTGTTACGTCGTGACACTATTCTTCA